CAGGACATCCCTTGGCGCCCTGCTTCGGACTTCCCCGACCCCTTCCCACCACCAGCTCTAGCTATGGTGGGGGAGCAGTGGTACGGAGGTGGGGATCCCTAGCAGAAGGAAGCAGTAAGGCACAAGGATCGGGCAAGGGAGAAACGGCACCTGGTAGCGAGTAGGGGGGAGGGTGGGAGGGTGGAATTAGCTTATACCTGTCAGGGCTGGGTCAAAATAGAGACAGCTTTTACCTCCACCCCTTTCTCCCACTTCCAACTGCCTGGTAGGAATGCAGTGGTGCGATTTGGATGGATGAAAAGCGAAGCCAAGGGTAAAGATCCTAGTCGTAGTGCCAGGCCTTATCAGCTTTAGATGGCACCCTTCTTTAGAGGGTGAAGAGGCACAGATTAGGGGAAGAGGCACATCACAGTTACTGGCCCCATGGCTTTCAGACAGTATCATTGGCTGTATATGGGACGCTCGACCCGTTTTCCAGCAGGTGACACTCCCCACCAATAGATGGAGCCTCTCCCCAGGTGTTAGTGGTGTCTGCTCCTATCAGCATCACTAACACTGGTGGAGTTGTTTAAAAAAAAAAAAAAACACCCTGGATCCTCTGGATTCAGGCTGCGAAAGGGGTCTGATAGGTCTCTCTCTCGAATTAGATCGAACAGTGTTATAGAGTCTCTTCTTCCTGCTGACCGGGAGTCCCTGCATAGAGCCTCCTCAATGGATAGGTTCCAATCCCCCATAATGACCAAGTTATCTAAGGACGGAATTATTCCTTGGAGATTTATTAAAAAATCCGCTCTTGAGGTCGGGTCCCCAGGCACATAGACAGTCATGATCACCCACTCCTTCTGCCCTGAGCGTAGTCTGACCCAAGTCCATTTCCCCCACAGGTCAGTTTCCGCATCCACAACATCATCTTGCAGGCTTCGGTGTACCAGTATAGCTACCCCACCCCTCATGCCCTGAGCTGGTGACCAGAATTGTTTTTGTTTTTTTGTTTTTTTGGATGACCAGAATTGTGGCCGTCCCACCACTCCTGTATTAAATTAAGCTTATCCTCACCCAACTTCGTCTCTTGCAGACAAAGACAGTCCACCTTTTGACTGAACATCCATGCCTTGACTCGTTTCCTCTTCTCTCTCCATGTAGTGTCCCCTAGACCTCGCACATTCCACGACCCAAGTTTCAGCTTAACCATTAACAACAGTTTCTTCCGCCTGATTTTGGATGCGAGAATCTGGATCATCGCCCCACCTTGGTTCTCCTTGGACTGGAGATTGAAGCATAGGACTCTGCCTTGGACTACCTTCGGAGTGGCTTGCTTGTGAGGAGGAACGCCAACTCTCCGATAAGGAGTTCAGCATAAACTTAGACCGCAGATTCGCTCAGTCCGGAAGTTTGTCGTTCACTTTCAGGAGCAGGAGTGTTGACACCTCTCGGGTCACTGTGATGGCCTCCAGCTTGTGACTATTTGCTTCTCGAACAACATCCAAATTGAACCACTTCACACCTGCCTGAGTCAGCCCGTGCCAGCACCGGTTCGGAGCGGCCAAAATTAACGCAGCCACCCAGCCGCGGCGCCCCCCCCGTCAGAATAAATTTGAAAGCCTCCCTTCGACATTTTCATCTCCTTAGGTCCTCGCCACACCAATGTCGAACAATGCATTTTTGACATTTTCTCCTCGCCACACAGCATGTCGAAATCCGAGATGCCAAAAAAATTCAGGGGCTGTCAGGGAAAGGGTTTTGACACCTCCTCTCGAGATGGGCTCGTTTCCCAGCCTGCAACTTGGACATTTTCAACAGTCCTCGGATGGGATGTCGAATTCTTGCCCGAATGTCGAAAAAGAGAACGCACCAACGCTTGTCCTATCTTCCCCCCAGTTTGTCTCTTTTGTGCATAGGACTTGTGAGTTCTTCACTTCCACATGCTGTGTGGCGAAGAGGGTTTTTCTGTCGAAAGAGGGAATGTCAAAAATTTCCTGACATACGTTGAATTTTGTGATGTTTCGACATTGGTGTGGCGAGGCCCTTACTGTTTCATTTTGTTGTTTTTTTTTTTTCGTTTTTTTTGTTTTGTTCCAGAATCTCGTTCGTTTTTTTTGTTTTTTTTTTTGCTTTTTTGCTTTTTTATTTATTTATTTATTTATTTATTTTTTAAGCTTACAGTCAACAGACTTAGAACCTTACCTTCCCTACCATCTGTTACCGAATTACTAAGGCCCTAGAATTGTCAAGCCCTGAAATTGCTCTTCTATCCTGAAGTGGTGCAACCACTAATAACCACAAAACTATTCGTAACTGCTTACCTCTTGACCAATTTTCAACCTCACGTATCCTACTCCTTTACCTACCGAAACTACCTATCTTAGGCTGCCTGTTGGCCTAATACACAAACCTACTCACTAAACAGTCTGACCCCGGCCTACCCGACCGAGCGGAACCCAAAGTTCCTTCTTTGTCACCTGACGCTCTCCTCCCTAGCCTGCCCATTGCGGTCTCCTGTGACCGCCGCCAGGAGCCGAGTGTCCTGGTTCATCTAAACAATACTAATTCCACCACTCCAGTGTCTCTTTTTAGCCATGCAAACCTAGATCGGTTCTATGTCCTGGGTCCTGTTGCTTCTCTTGGATTAACCAAGGTGCCAGTTTGAGCTTCCCATCCGCTGTTATGGAGGCTAATTTATCGTCTTTCGACCAGGTCTGGCGGCTGCACCTCTGTTTGGATGGCCCTGTGTGTTATACCAGTCTACCTGTATTATTTTCCTGAGTGTAGCCTTGATCCTGGCTGTCTGGGCCTGGAATGTCTGTGTTTCGTTCTTGAAGACCACTCCGTTTCGTGCTTTCCAAATAGTCTCCGTGATGGTGCCTCTGCATGCTAAAGCCACATAGCCCCAGCCCTTGGTTAGGTCGTGATCCTCATGGCATAAACCATATAAGGTCCACTCCTGTGTCCCAGCCCCAGCGGCACCTTCCACATGTTTCCGACACTTCCATTCCTCTCGATTTCAGCCAGGTAGCCGATGGCGTGACCAACATTGACTGAATCCACATTAGGCTGCTCTGCTTTTGCGAGGGTATCCTTTTCAAGGCCTTTCAAAGTTTCTGTAGATCCACGTCTCCCAGTCTGAATCCCCGTTCTTTCTGCAATCTTCCTGCTGCCAGTACGACAGGCTGACTCCTCCACCTAGCCTGCTGTATTCGAAGTCCAATGTTGGTTTTATACAGTACCACTGGGAGGAAGTCCCTGGGGCCTGCAATCTCCTTCCATCCCACTAGCAGCGGCTCGACCTGTAGCTTATCTGGATTGCGGGAGACCAGTACTGCTGCAGGTTCCCTTGGAGCCTTCGTTGTAGAAGCGGCCGTCCAGGATTGCCTCCGGTAGCTTGAGGCTCAGCAAGGCTCGGCATACCGGTAGGCGGATGGTCGTGATCGATAGCTTGGAAAGGTACTGGCAGAGCTCACCCTCATCCAGGATTGCCTACCTGCATCCAAGGCAAGATCAATGCCCCACCCTCGTCTATCTACCCTACTTCCCTCTTAAGGGCCTCTTCGCTCGTCTTGCTAACTGATGAGCGCTTTTTGTGCAGGAATCAGTCTATCTCAGTATTATACTTATTTCAGGATGTACTGCAGGCAGTTGTGTCAGTTTTGGTGTAGGACAAGGAACGTTTATCCAGCAGGGACAAACGAAGGTGATGAACTGAGCCCTGCAAGTGACAGGGAACTGATGGGCATCTGACAACATGGCGACATTACTTTTTTTTTTTTTTTTTTTTTTTTTCCAACACAAGCTCCATCTATTGGTGGGGAGCAACACCTGCTGGAAACCGGGACCAGCGTCCCATAGATAAAACCATATCCTCCCAAATTGGCACAAACTGGGAACCGGGCCCAGCGTCCCATTGCCTACAAAGTTCAACGATGGGTTCCCAGTGACGAAGCCACGGAAGGGTGGGAAAAGTACCTAGGTGTACCCGGGGGTGAGGTCCCACTAGCAAAGAAGGTTGGATAAATATACTGAATCTGGACGTGTGTTCAGCAGAGATGCGGAAAAGCAGTTCCATCTCAATCCAAACCTCTTTGCTAGTGGGACCTCGCCCCGGGACAGAGGCATGTCCCAGGTAGACCCAGATTGTGCTTTGTGTCTCCAGCGCACCTTGATTGCGGTTTCCATCCCGGTAAACTGGCTACCGTTTTGCCTACCCGAGGTGCACGTGGCGGGTAACCCAATGGGACAGGCCCACACGTTTTTTTCGTGCGAGAAAATTGGCTACGGATTTGAACCGGTCACGGCTTGCTGTTTGGGCGGGGGCAGGAGGGCGAAAGGAGGGAGGGAGCGGGACAACAGGGGGCAGGAGGATGACTGTGGCGTCGATAACGATCATCCTCTTTCCTCGCTTTGCCCGCGTCTCCTCCCGCGCGCATGTTGGTCGCTCTATGTGAATCTGGTAATATGACCCTTGGGAAAAAAAAGAAGTCCTGCACGTTTTTCAGCCTAAGCGCAATTCAATAGGCGCGAGCTATAAGGCGAACGCGAGAGGAGGGAGGAGGACAATACTCGTCGTCGCTTCTCCTCGTTCTCCTCTTCCTCCTGAAGGGAGGACGACGACGACATGCTGTGTGGCGCAGAGAGAGGAGGAACATGCTGTCGCTCCTACTCCTAAGAAGCCTCCCCTTCCTCCTGCAACTCCTCCTCTGAAAGGCGAGCGCGAGAGGAGAGAGGAGGAGTTGCAGGCGGAAGGGGAGGCTTCTTAGGAGGAGGAACAGCATGTTCCTCCTCTCTCTGCGCCTCCTGCTCCTTCTCCACCTCCTCCTCCTCTTGGTCCTACTCCCCTTCGCTTCATCCAGCGAGCGCACTGGAAGAAGAAGGGTTCTCGCCCGCATCGTCCTTCTCCTGTTCCTCCCGCTCCTCCCCTCCCTTGGTTTCATGTCTGTGGCCCTTGTGGTGTCGCTCAGACCATATCATCATCCATGATAATTTCATGCGTGTTTTCGCCACGTTACTCCGCCCGCATCGTCCGTCCTTCTCTTGCTCCTCCTGCTCCTCCTCCTGCTCCCCTTCGTTTCGTGTCTGTGGCCCTTGTCGTGTCGCTCAGACCATCATCCTTCATGGTAATTTCTGCGCATGTTCTTGCCACGTAACCCCGCCCGCATCGTCCTTCTCCTGCTCCTCCCGCTCCTCCCGCATCGTCCTTCTCCTGCTGCGCCCGCTCGTCCCCATCGTCCTTCTCCTGCTGCTCCCGCTTGTCCCTTTCCCTTGGTTCCTTGCCTGTGGCCTTTGTCGAGCCGCTCAGACCATATCATCATCCACGATAATTTCTGTGCATGTTCTTGCCCTGTAACCCCAGCGTCAGGTTTGCTTGGTCGTGGTAAGGCTTTGCTGAATGTATCATCTCATCGCCATGACTGCCAAGTTCGTGCCAAAGAGTTCCCCTGCGTAAGAATGAAAGAGGGATGGAGAAAGCCCATGGGCATAGATCAACAGCTGGATTCCTTTCTGCTGTGGTACAAAAAAGGGGAGGTGTCCTTCAGTAACAACCGGAAGAGTTGAGGAGGGGTAGAGGAGGGGGGACGAGGGGCCAGGGGGAAGGAGGAGAAGCAAGGAGGGGAGGGGGGTGCTCGTCGGATGGCGGACAAGGATGATACTATGACGGTCAATAGATAGGGTGGATGGGTTATGTGTTTGGTGAACTTGCAACGTTGTTGGGGCTTGACTTACGCTGTCCGCGGTGACCCTGTTGAGAATGATATGGATCTGGTCCAGCAAGTAGGTATACAAATCGCTGTACATGTCATCTACCTCCTCTTCCGTTGGTTTCTTACCCTGGAATGAGGCATACCTTTCTCTTACGACCTTCACCATGAGCTCTTTCATCTTCTCCTTCATTCCAAGCCACCTACCAGTTGTGTTCAAATCGAAAATGAGTTGTTTCCTCTTCTCGTCTACCGAATTATCAGGGGTCGTGAGTGTTCCATTCTCTGTTTTTTCAGCAAACATCTCCTGATACCGGGATGCCAGGTCGTAGATCATCGAAGCCACGAATTTACGAAAAGCCTCAAGTGCTGGCTTTGCCTTATCCTTCATCTTTTCCAGCTTTGGTCGAGGGGGAATGAGGTCTCCCAGTTTGAGGTCTGGCTTTGGTGGTGGCACCCATATGGGCTCGATGGGTTGGCTAAGGGTAATCTTGATGAAAATGAACGACCTTGATTCTAGCCATGAGCTTTGCTCTGCAAGAGAAAGCACGCCATCTTCCTCCTCCTGTTTGCCTGGCTCGGCGTCGTCATTTCCCTGCTTCCCCTCCTCACCCCCCTCCACAGGTATCGCTTTCTTGTTGGGATTTGCTGGTGGACGTTTCAGCAACGGGTATCTTAGGTGTTGGGGGGACCACGGCTCCCCGTCCCCTTCTCTCATAGACAATCCCTGAAGCAGAAAAGCTTGGGGAGTAGCAGCACCGAGAGGGATGGAAAGCTCTGCCAGACAGCAACCCGGTTCCAGTAAAGCCACCAGATCCACCAGGAAGGTGGCGTGGTACTTTTCCCAGACCGGATCTGTCATATCCACCCGGTCCTCCTTCAGGTAGCGCGCAATTTCTCCCATCAGTTTCTTCTTTCGGAACAGAAAAGCTCTCAGGACCTCGACCGCCTCTGCAGGAAGGAACCGTCTGCTGACAGTCCTGCCCGACAACCTGGTCGCTTTCCAGACGACCCTGGCGTCCTCCATAGCTCTGAGCTCTTCGTCCTTCGCCTTCTCCGTGTCGTCTTTCTTTCTCCCTCCTTCCTTCTTCTTCCCACCACCTCCGTCTTTCTCCCGTTTGTCCTTGCCAGCTGTGCCGGGGCGCTCTTTCTTCGCCCCCTTCTTTTTCGACTTGTTTGCTCCCGGACCCCCTTCGTCATCCTCCTCAGGCTTCGTCGACTTCGTTGCCGCAGCTGTCGACGTCGCTTTCCCACCTTCCTCCGAAGGGAGGACTCCCCCTTCAGACTTAGAGTCCGGCGGAGCAGGCAACCCATTCTCTTTCTGTGCTTCCGCTTCGCCCGGCGGTTGCCCCTCCACCTGAGAAGTCTCGGCGGTTTTTTCTTTGATGACGATCTCTACCTCGCCATAGTCAAGCCTAAGCACCGGGGGCCAGAGCTTCTCCAGCGGCACTCCCGATTCCGTCTCTGCCTGTTGCTCGCCCCCTTCCTCTTCCGCTGTCTTCGCTCTGTCAGCCTTCTTCCCACCGACTTTGTCCGAGACTTTGCCTCCTTTCTCACCCCCACCCTTATCCTGTCCTTCGTCCTTTCCAGCACTTTTGCCCGCGCTTCGTCCTCTGCCTCCTACTTGAACTGGGTCTACGGTGGCAGGCGGTGCTTCTTCGTGCGTAAGTGAGTCCTTCAAATCTGCCCACCACATTCCCCACATCCCTGGAAATGGCACTGCCACATGGTACAAGAAGGGGTCGATGGCAGGGTCTCTTGCGAAGTCGTGAATTTTAGGGGGCACTGGATGAACCCTCGTCACCTCCATCTCCAAGATGACCCCTTTCTCCGCGTCCTTTCCCTTTAGCAAAGGCTCCGATACAGTCACCCGTACCCTCAAGGTGGCATTAGGCAGGACTGTGGGCAAAGCAGCCGCCAGCCGCTCTTCCGAGGTTTCTCCTTTCTTTCCACGGGGTCCAGGAGATGACACCTTCCCTGTCTGTTTGGCACTCTTCGCCCCTGCGGTTTTCCCTCCTCCAGCCCCACCTCCTGCCTCTCTTGGCTGCCCGGAAGGGGAAGTCGCTATTTCGTCTGAGGCAGCTGCAGGGCCCACTGGGAGCCATTCGTCAAGCTCAAGTGGAGGATTAGCTCTGCCGACGAATTTCGAGAGGTCCAGGGCAGCTCTCCCGACGGTGTGCCGTGCTCCGTTTGCTGGATCAACCCACTGAACTGCCACAGCAAGCGGTCGTGAGACAGCTGTTTGGATGAACGCCCAATCGACCACGCGTTTGTACGTGTGGCTGGCACCGAAATCGAAGGAAGCGGTCTGAGGGGGAGCTTGAGGGGGAGCTTGAGGGGGAGGTTCAACCGTTGAAGGCCCTGAGGGGTCCAACGAAGCTTCGGGTCCGGATACCGACTTTCCTGCTTCTACAGTAGCGCTGCCGACAGGTGATGGCAATTCCTCTGGGCCATGGCTGCCGGTCGGCACCGCGTCAGGTGACGGGCTGGCTGCTGCCAATGTCACGGGCTGAACGGGAGTGGACTCGAAAATCTGTGGCGGTTGCCTTGCAGATGCGGAGCCGTCAGAGTCGAGCTCCCTACCAAACAGGGAAAAGGCAACTGCGGCAGAGGCTAATTGCGGAGGGGGTGGGCTGTCGAGGGGGAGGCCATCCTTAACCCAAGGGGTCTTTCTCCCTCGAGGGGTACCGCCACCCCGAGGGGAATCCTTCCCACGCGGAGACTTTTGGCCACGTGGAGTGCGTGGGGTACGTGGGGTACGTGGGGTGCGGGGTTTATCTCCCCTCTTCTTGTCCTTGCCAGCACTTTCTTTCTTCTTCTTCACTTCCGTCTCTTCCGAACTCGCATATGGACTCCACAAATCGCGCCCTTGGATTACTTCTATTTTTATTTCCCGAATAATCGGCGAATCAAGTCTCTGTTCGCTGTCAATCGCGATCTCGAAGTGACTCTCTAATGGCTCTTGGGGATTTGCATCATCGTTCTCCGCCATCTCTCTCTCTCTCTCTCTCTCTCTCTCTCTCTCTCTCTCTCTCTCTCTCTCTCTCTCTCTCTCTCTCTCTCTCTC